TCAATGCGCAATAGTTTATTCTTACAAAATATAGACCGTTTAATTTTAGCGAAATGAGATAAATATTTCCCCTAAACATTTTTAGCTCTTTTCAAAACAAAATGAACGAAGTTCATGGGTTATATGCAATACGAAAATTTCAGAATAGCAAGACGATTTAGATGTATCTCTTATAGCTGGGAAAGAATAGCACCAACATTTTACGCACATTATTTGTATGTTTCGTTTCGGTAACTGTATGGCTTGAAATTTCAATGAAACCGCCATGTCCACATACAGTAAACTACGGTTATAACGAACACGCTTATAACGAACTGACGGATATAACGAACTAACTTTTTAGTCCCGACTATTTGCTGTAGTATATAGTATATATGCTTATAACAAATTACGGTTATAACGAACTAAAATTAGTAGTCCCTTTGAGTTCGTTATAACCGTAGTTTACTGTATATGCTACGAAATTAACCTCCCCCATATACTTCCCGGCCTTCAGGGCGGGGAAGAATGAGGACTTCAGCGGGATAACGGGGCATTGTGCAGCGTGATGTCAGACATGGCAACAGGTGGTAAACACAGCTTGGTTTCGATTTCATGCAAACCCCTGGACGACCCTATAAAACCCATGTTGACCATGGTGTGACCGGACTTAACTTTGGTTGACCAGTGTTGACACATGTAAACTGATTTACATCATACGTCGGTTGACAAAAGTTGCCCATACCGACAGTTTGTTAGTTTGTTGTTTAACGCCGCACTCAGCAATATTCCAGCTGTATGAAGGCGGTCTGTAAATAATCAAATCTGGACCAGACAATACAGTTATTGATATAAGCATCGATCCACGCAATTGGGATACGATGACATGCATCAACCAAGTCAGCGAGCCTAACCACCCGATCCCGTTAGTCGCCTGTTACGGCAAGCGGTTCCCCTAACCTACTAAACTCCCGGGGTGCGGTACTCTGGTTAGCACAATACAAGACACGTCATCATTAAAGCTAATTAGTTTCATTTATTGACTTATTTATGAATAAAAACATTTTAATGACAGAATATAATTTAACTAAAGTACTGTCGGAAATCCTATAAAACACTTTTTTGCCTGTTAAACAGGATATAATTGTTCACATTCTGTTATTGAAATATCCACACACACAAAAACCATTTTGAGAAAATTCTACATGTACATCTTCCAAAATGACAAAATGACGCTGCGTCTGTTTTGTTATCATTGCTCCCATGATGCATGTTACGTTACACTCGCATAGCCATAACCATGGTACACAATATGGAATCTGTACTGGGAAATGTGTACAAATTATCTACACTTTAGAGAGATAGAGGAAAACCATTTATTAATTTAGATAGGGTGAATTGCCCAAGCAATACGTGTTTCAATTCATACCATCAAGTCTACGGTATGATGAATAGAACAAAACAGGTATAGGGGTGGTCTCAAAAACAAAACTGGGGCGTAAAAGGATAGTAGACACCTTTGATACAGGGTGATTAGGCGTATTGTGTACAAGCTTTATGAGCAGAAGGTAACCCTGACTTGTAGTAGAATTTGGGAGGAATTAAAGATACAATTAATGTTAACTGCACTAACTATTGCCCTCAAAGAGATGGGATTTCGAGACACTGCGCGTGGCGATGACTGAGTACTTTCCAGGGGAAAATAGTCCATCCTGTCTTTGAGGTCACATTATCTCTGAAACATTTATAACTATCACAGGCAGGGCGTCCAGACAATTTACCTTGATGAATCATTCCACTGACTAAATGTGGCTCTTGGCAGATGGACAAAAAACACCCATAGATAATCAGGTAAAGGTAACCGTGTCATTGTTTTGCACGCTGCTACCCATGATATGGGGCTTAGTGATGGATGTGTGCTAATTTTCGAGGCGAAAAACAAAACTGGTGATTTTCATAAGGAAAGTTTAGGCGGTGATGTGTGTGTTCATAGACTGGTTTGAACTGCAGTGTCATTGTCATAGATAACGCAAGTGTTATTGTCATGGATAACGCCATTGAATATAACGTCCGGGAATCAGATACTCTCGCCCAAACCATGAGTAGTCTGATGGCGACCATACAGGAATATATGACATTGTCGACTTCAGACCATATGAAACGACAGTTCAACTCATGGAGAAAATTCGGCTGAATAAGAACCCTGTAAAGTACAGGACATATGTGCTGGCGGTACAACACGGTCACGTTGTCTTACGTACGCCAGTCAGACATTGTGAGCTCAACCCTGCTGTGTCCATCTTGGCTAAGTGTAAAGGGTTCGTGGCAAGACATAACACAACATCCAAAAGTACAGATTCATCTACGTCATCAGTGGAGATAAATGCTACCATCTGTAGAACAACAAATACTTCTGGATTCCAAAACCGCAACCTTCCAATACTTATCCCGTTTCATAGCTCTTAACTTTTCCATTATGTTTCCAAGCAAATAAATTGTAGTATATATCCTATATTGCTACCCCATCAACGCACATGGCAATTAAGTACAATAACAGCAATAATTTGAGACCACCCCCAACTCGGTGACAAGGGCACCTGTGAGAATGAACGGGACGGTGTGAGGTCATCAACTCGGGACAGGTGTTAGGTAATTACCTCAGGTTAAAGGCCATTTCATACATGCATGACAACACACGAATATGTTCAATATTTGATCATGATTTTACCTGTAAAAGTACATTTTGAGTCTAATCCCAGTGTCAGTTAGGACAGGCTAGATTAGGGCAATTTTTGATATATGCTCTTTTTATAGTCATATGACTCGTATTCATTAAATGAGGCCAGAAAAGCATTTCCAACAGTACTTCAGCTATTGTATCTTGAATTTGGAAATTATTGTTATCAAACCGCCTTTAACATACAGTAAAACACCGTTGTGTCGAAGTTGATGGGACCTACGTAAATACTTCGAGCTATCTGAGGTTCGACACAACCAAAACAAAACCCAACTCACTCACTCACTCACTGATGTGGGAGGAGAGCACGAAGTGATGACGTTTTGTGAATCTCATACTCGTGTGGTGCTGACAAACCTTGAAACAAAATCAGGTAAATCTGGGAATCGAACCAACGATCGTAGGTTCCTGCTGCGCCTTAAGGGACGCAACTCTGCACAACGAATGGGGCCTCCTTAGAGGACTGGGCAACCGTGTTCCCGCCAAACATGGCTTTATCATGAGCGCGAAACAGATCGGTATTGTCGAGAAAACCAAGGTCATTTATAGAACTCATAAACCCAGAGTCGTCCTAGGGCATCTTTTGAGTCTACCCCAGACGGAAACGCACCAGTCTGTGGACACGAACCCGGCTTGCAAACATTCCTGTTTGATGTTCTTCATCCCTTTGTCGGGGCAACATATGTTATCTCAGTGACAGACAATTAATCATTCTTCAGAATGCTCCTCATAAAGGTAGGTAAACTGACAGTGTTGTTTGTTTCATACTGATTTTGTTTTCCATTTGATTAGTGCAGAGATCGACGATTGTGTTGGATATATACTGAACCGCAAAAGAAACGTCACCCAAGTAACATTGCATGAACAGTGATTTTTGCCATTTGTCATGGTTCACAAATAGGGGTGTGTTTAACTTTTTTCTTTGTATATATAATTATGGAATGTGTATGTGTGTTTTTGTTTATGTGACAAACCTCGAAACATAATCGAGGCGAACCGGGATTCGAAAACACAATCATAGGTTTCTGCTGCGTCCAAGGGACCCAATTCTACACATCAAATTGCGTCACCTTCGACGACTGGGCCACCCGTGCCCCCGAATGGTTAATTAAATTACGTATATGTAAACTTACATCACGTTACATAACTGTAGAACATGTGGAGGAATATCATTATCTCCAGTACGTTTTGTAGGGCTGGATGTAGCTATCGCCTTGCCAACAAAAATCTTGAAAAAATCTGAAATTACAAAACGGTAGAGATGGATGTTGAGCTTAAATGTCTGTGCAACCTAGATAGTAATGGAGGTCAAGAGGCATAGGATGTCAGTTCAGAAGTCGTCTGTGTTTGCATGTGTATTCCATTCAATATATGTAAGGCTGCGCTAAATTAAATTCCGCACTAAATTCCGACCTGTTTCGTATTAATTTATCTGATGCTATTTCCTGTAAATGCGGAGCTCCTTGTGAAAATTAATTCAATTTCTTCTTCGAATGTACCTTATATGATGATTTTAGGGAGACTTTACTGACAGCTATCGATAATCTTGGAGGACAAAAAACTCTACATAGTATTCTTTTTGGTGATCCAAACTTAGATGTTTTCCTGAATACAAAAATATTCTTGTCTGTACACAAATTTATAGAAACGAGTAACAGATTCAGTAGCTAGCATATTATTGTTTCCAAACTGTTAATCATAAATTTTGTTAAATCTATATACAACACCAACATGTATAATATTAGGATATATATGAGATGCACACTGTCTTCACTTTCCAGCACATTGTACATATCCTTCATATGAGCACTGTATATATATTGCGCACTATGTTTCCACAATGTGAAGCTTCAACTGTAAATTGGTCATTTTCATTATGCAATATTATGTATAACTGTGTAAAGGGAGAAGGCGGTAATAAGTGCTGCACTTGTGCCCAATCCCTTTGTCTTTTTGGACAATAAAATATGTTTAATAATAATAATGGCTGCGTTAAGGAGTAGACGTCTGGGACCTGCACCATTTCGAGCTCAGCTCCCACAGCGAGGTTTCTGGCGTGCCCAAGAGACGCAACTCTGCACAGCGAATTGCGGCGCCTTAGACGACTGGGCATCCCGTGCCCCCGGGAAACAAAAACTGAGTTTATGTGCCTTACACGCACTATCAACACAGGATGAAGAGGAGGAGCCTTTTAGTGCTGTGTTTATATACCAGATTGTCACACGGCAAAGCAGATAACGAGTACTAATCACGTTTAACGTGCAAACATTTCTGAAATTCCAAAATGGCGGCCGGTCGCCATTATTGCGCTGCCTGGCGACGCAAACAGCCAACCGATGATAGGACTTTGAAAAGCAATATGGCGGCGATTCTGACCCTGTTGATTTTAGGTAGGTCTGTTTAAGCGTAAACTTTGCTTCAATTGGTGATGTTTTAAATCATTCCTCATTTAGGCTCATCAGTTAATGACGTTGTTATGACGTTGTTATTACGTGACGACTGTGATGCGTTGTTTCATCATTACGACGTCGTGTTGATATTGCTACATTTGAGAATGCCTCTTGCTGACCAGTATGATATGACCCTTGACCCCCAAATATATCTCCGATCGCTTTAAAGAAGAAATTGAAAACCACTTTGCAATTAAATATAGCTTGTATACAAAATAATCAATTTTGATGTTTTGGATTTAGAAAATAGACGTGAGGATTAGAATTATTGCAAAAATTCAAAGAGACAAATAAATACACACTGTTAGAAATCAACATTATGGGGTTTGATATTAACTGTGATCCAGATAGTTGTTCATCTGTATAAGTACAGTACTGGTCACAATCAGAAGTGATGAGTACCACACATACGTTTTCAAACCAATAATGCCGTACTGCTCGTTTGTAGAATTGACGAGTTCTTGTATGATAGTGTGCTGCCAGCATTCAAAGACGTCGCGTTATACATTCGGAGTTTGTTGGTAACTAACATATACATTACTGAGACTAGAGAATTCGAGTGCTTTATTAGCCAACGGCAATGCAGGATTGCCAGGAGATCCATTTATTGCTGGCACGAAATGGCATATATCTCCCGTTTAAGCGGAAGGTAATGCCAAGTACGGTAAACAAAAGTTTCACAATGTGTTGTGAATCTATTGTTCTTGTGAATCAATTATTCGTGGGAATCACTTGCCCCTGCGAATCCTAGATCGTCTCCCCTTGAAACCTGATGATAAATGATAGGTGTAATTATTTTCAGGTTTTTGAGGTTAGACAAGCGGGAGTACATTGATGGACTCCGTATCTGTGTGTTGTCCCCATCAGTGATTCATGTAAATCTTACTGTGATGCTGATGCTGTAGCAGCTGATAATCGTGATGATCGTGATGATATTGCTGGAATATTGTTAAAAACGGCGTAAAACCATACTCACTCACTCATATGTGCTCAGTGGTAGTCACAACACTGATGTGCTGTGCAGGAATGTAACGCCAGGTCTTCCAGCCTTAAGTATACCTTAGGTTGTATGCAACATGTATGTACGTTCTCTCGAGGATAGAAAGTAAAGCAAAAAAGAAGCACAATCACAAAACGCCAGCATCCCCGTTGATGACCTCGCACTAAATTGTCGTTATAGTGGGAATGACAACGTTTCAACCACTTGATATCAGACCCCCTTTTGTACCGAAATAGCCCATTGAGTCCAACTATTATCTTAAACTCATGTCATGCTACAATTACATGATATGCTTGTCGTAGAAGGCGACTAACGGGATCGGGTGGTCAGGCTCGCTGACTTGGTTGATGTATGTCATCGTATCCCAATGACATGGATCGATGCTCATGATGTCAATCACTGGATTGTCTGGTCCAGACTCAATTATTTACAGACCGCCGTCAATATAGCTGGAATATTGCTGCGCGTCGTTAAACAACACACAAACAAACAAACAAACATATTCATGAGCTGGTCTTGTGGAACAGAGATAAGTGTAGATCCTACAGTATCGGACTTCCTTGCAGGTGTGTGCGCGGAGATTGCTGAAGCGTCCAACTGTCAACCTGGATCCCCTCCACGGAATGGACTTCTGAGCTGTCGACAAGACGGATCAACACTGTACGTTATAAGTCACTATTTTTGTATGTGGTTCTTAGAGGTGCAACGTTTGATTGTTTGTTGTTTAGCGCCGCACTTATTCCACAATATTCCATCGTGCCTTATGTGTATGAAGTGTACACGTGTGTACGTTGTGTGTGTATGTAGTGTACACGTGTGTACGTCGTGTGTGTATGTACTGTACACGTGTGTGTCATGATATAAAAGTTGTGTGCATCGTACGTCGTGTGTGTATGTATTGTACTCGTGTGTACGTCGTGTGTGTGTACTGTGTGTGTCATGAAATCACCGTTGTGTGCACCGTACCTACGTGTTTATGTCGTGTGTGAATGTACTGTACACGTATGTACGTCGTGTGTATATGTACTGTACACGTGTGTACGTCGTGTGTATGCAGTGTACACGTGTGTACGTCGTGTGTGTATGTAGTGTACACGTGTGTACGTCGTGTGTGCATGTAGTGTACACGTGTGTACGTCGTGTGTGCATGTACTGTACACGTGTGTACGTCGTGTGTATATGTAATATACACGTGTGTACGTCGTGTGTGCATGTAGTGTACACGTGTGTATGTCGTGTGTCTATGTACTGTACACGTGTGTACGTCGTGTGTGCATGTACTGTAATCGTGTGTGCGTCCTGTGTGTATGTACTGTACACGTGTGTGCGTCGTGTGTGTATGTACTGTACGCGTGTGTGCGTCGTGTGTGTATGTACTGTACACGTGTGTGCGTCTAGTGTGTATGTACTGTACACGTGTGTACGTCGTGTGGTATGTACTGTACACATGTGTCATGATATGACCGTTGTGTACACCGTAAGTCGTGTTTGCATGTACTGTACATGTGTGTGCGTCGTGTGTGTATGTACTGTACACGTGTGTATGTCGTGTGTGTATGTACTGTACACGTGTGTGCGTCTAGTGTGTATGTACTGTATACGTGTGTACGTCGTGTGGTATGTACTGTACACATGTGTCATGATATGACCGTTGTGTACACCGTAAGTCGTGTTTGCATGTACTGTACACGTGTGTGCGTCGTGTGTGTATGTACTGTACACGTGTGTATGTCGTGTGTGTATGTACTGTACACGTATGTGCGTCTAGTGTGCATGTACTGTACACGTGTGTACGTCGTGTGTATGTACTGTACATGTGTGTATGTCGTGTGTGTATGTACTGTACACGTGTGAACGTTGTGTGTGTATGTACTGTACACGTGTGTGTCATGATATAAACGTTGTGTGTACCGTACGTCGTGTGTGTATGTACTGTACACGAGTGTGCGTCATGATTTAACCGTTGAGTACGTGTGTACGTCGTGTGTGTATGTACTGTACATGTGTGTACGTCGTGTGTATGTACTGTACACGTGTGTACGTCGTGTGGTATGTACTGTATACATGTGTCATGATATGACCGTTGTGTACACCGTAAGTCGTGTTTGCATGTAGTGTACACGTGTGTGCGTCGTGTGTATGTACTGTACACGTGTGTATGTCGTGTGTGTATGTACTGTACACGTGTGTGCGTCGTGTGTGTATGTACTGTACACGTGTGTACGTCGTGTGGTATGTACTGTACACATGTGTCATGATATGACCGTTGTGTACACCGTAAGTCGTGTGTATGTACTGTATACGTGTTTATGTCGTGTGTGAATGTACTGTATACGTGTGTATGTCGTGTGTGAATGTACTGTACACGTGTGTATGTCGTGTGTGTATGTACTGTACACGTGTGTACGTCGTGTGTGTATGTACTGTACACGTGTTTATGTCGTCTGTGTATGTACTGTACACGTGTGTATGTCGTGTGTGTATGTACTGTACACGTGTGTACGTCGTGTGTGTATGTACTGTACACGTGTTTATGTCGTCTGTGTATGTACTGTACACGTGTGTATGTCGTGTGTGAATGTACTGTACACGTGTGTATGTCGTGTGTGTATGTACTGTACACGTGTGTATGTCGTGTGTGTATGTACTGTACACGTGTGTACGTCGTGTGTGTATGTACTGTACACGTGTGTATGTCGTGTGTGTATGTACTGTACACGTGTGTACGTCGTGTGTGTATGTACTGTATACGTGTGTATGTCGTGTGTGAATGTACTGTACACGTGTGTATGTCGTGTGTGTATGTACTGTACACGTGTGTACGTCGTGTGTGTATGTACTGTACACGTGTTTATGTCGTCTGTGTATGTACTGTACACGTGTGTATGTCGTGTGTGAATGTACTGTACACGTGTGTATGTCGTGTGTGTATGTACTGTACACGTGTGTACGGTGTGTGTTTATGTACTGTACACGTGTGTACGTCGTGTGTATGTACTGTACACGTGTGTATTTCGTGTGTATATGAACTGTACACGTGTGTATGTCGTGTGTGTATGTACTGTACACGTGTGTACATCGTGTGTGTATGTACTGTACACGTGTGTATGTCGTGTGTGTGTGTACTGTACACGTGTGCACGTCGTGTGTATATGTACTGTCTACGTGTGGGCGTCGATGGTGGATGTACTATACACGCCTGTCTCATGATTTAACCGTTGTGCCCACGTCTTGTTATAAACATTGTGATTTCTGTGTGTTATGTTATAATTATTGCATTATTGTGTGTGATGTCATAAGCATTGTGTTCAGAGTATGTCTTTAAATGATTGATTTGTTTTCATTTCTTTGTTGTTTAACACCGCACTCAACAATAGTCCAGCTAAATGACGGCTCTCAACGTTAAGGGTCTAAAACAAGGACTGGTCGGCTCGGAGTCAGTTTACTATGTCTGAGAGGGCTATTCATGTTAAACTGCGGCATGGTATCTCAGTGGTCTAGCACCATAAAACCGGCACTAGTCGGGACTAGTACAAGCAGATATCTAGACACACACACGCGTGCGCATGTACATGCTCGTCGTCGCTATGGAGGTGTAATAATCGTGAACGTGACGCTAAACCCAATTCCACCTCACTTCACTGCACCAAACACTATCCATTAACTCATGGACTCTGACTTCGCCCAAGATTGCCCTCTTCCCACTAACTCTATGTTCTGTGTTGTAATTGATTGCAGGGTCTGCCATGCTACGTGTAACGACTGCTACATGTTCCCAAACAAAGAAAAGGTTATGACGTCAAAGTGTGACGTCAATACCGGTCGATGGGAGGGTGCCAGCACATTTGAAGACTGTGCTATTGGTAAGAATACTAACTAGGCCCTAGATGAAATCCACGGATCTTAGCGATACAACTGTGTATAGTTCTCGAGGCAAGGAAGTTAACTGTATATTTAAGTCCAGTTTCCACCCTTACCGAACAAGGCTGAAACCAGTCGCTGTTACGAGTAATGTCCCTTCTATGTACTTCCTTCTGGATTTCGAATTTGATTGGACTATGCATAGTCTTGGTCGGTATAGTATTGTATAGGAGTAATATTTTTTTAAATTTACCTTGAATAATCTAGAATCCTTGAATAAACCCCTTCCTTGAATAAACGGCTGTCTTGAATGACTAGCTGCTTTGAATAAACCCATTCCTTGTTTAAACGGCTATCTTGAATGACTAGTTGCCTTAAATAAACCCCTTACTTGTTTAACTGGCTATCTTGAATGACTAGCTTCCTTGAATCAAAGGCTATTTTGCATGACTAGCTTCCTTGAATAACCCCCTTCCTTGAATTAACGGATTTCTTGAATGAATAGCTTCCTTGAATAAACCCCTTCCTTGAATAAACGGCGAGCTGCCTTGAATAAACCCCTTCCTTGAATAAACGGCTATCCTGAACGACTAGCATCCTTGAATACACCCCTTCCTTGAGTAAACGGCGAGCTGCCTTGAATAAACCCCTTCCTTGAATAAACGGCTATCTTGAATGACTAGCTGCCTTGAATAAACCCCTTCCTTGTTTAATAGGCTATCTTAAATGACTAGCTTCCTTGAAACAACGGCTATCTTGCATGACTAGCTTCCTTGAATAATCCCCTTCCTTGAATTAACGGATGTCTTGAATGACTCGCTGCCTCAAATCAACGGCTATCTTGAATGACTAGTAGCCTTGAATCAATGGCTATCTTAAATGGCTAGCTTCCTTGAATCAACGCCATCCTTGAATAAACGACCATCTTCAATGACAAGCTTGGGACCTGGACGACAGTGTGCCAACCCTAGACAGAACATAGCCTGACGCAATGTTTCAAAATAATGATTTAAAGACCGACAACCAGAAGTGCATCCGTATTATCAAAGGTCGGTGTCGTCTTTCGCCAACGACGGATACTCGGGACTTAATCTGCCCCGGAATCCCTAATACTGATCTATGCAGCATTGGAAACGATGACGATTGGATATTGTGGTCTAGAATTCTATATCGTGAATATTAATCAGATTCTAATATCGTGGTGTGTTTAGCAATCATGTTTGTTGTAGAGTCATGTTCGTGCTCCCTCCTCAGCAGCTCCTCCCCCGACACCACGATGACAGCATCGACGGTGTACCTCAACAGGTCAGATATTTTCGGACCAGAATTAGCTCGTCTTTCAGCGACTCGAGGAATCTGGCGGCCAGACATTGAAGATGTCGCTCAGTATGTTCAGGTATATGTTGGCACTGACGTTGGTTGGTTGGTTGGTTGGTTGGTTGGTTGTTTAACGCCGCACTCAGCAATATTCCAGCCATATGACGGCGGCCTGTAAATATTCGAATCTGGACCAGACAATCCAGTGATTGACATCATTAACATCGATGCACGCAATTGGACACGATGACATGCATCAACCAAGTCAGCGACCATGCCCAACCAATCTCATTAGTCGCATTTACTCACAACATGGGTTGCTGCAGACCTATTCTACCCCGGATCTTCGCGGGTGTCTCTGTGATATAGATCAGATATAACTAAATCAAAAATCAGCATGGAATATACTACTCATGGATTTATTTTCCTGAATTTGGAAAGCCGTACTTAGGCATTCGATCACATCAGAAGTCCGACACATGTATATGTAAGAAAAGAAAACGGCTAGTTATCAGCAATATAAACATGTATCATAATCAATTTTGTTTTGTTATTATAAAATTTGACATACCAGTGGGACACTGAATGGCCCATATACTACAATGTACCTGGTATATTGCTATTTACTTCAGTATTTCAATGTCGACGTTTTGATTTCAGGTTAATTTCAAATCACTGCACAAGATAACTGGCGTGGTAACCAAGGGAGACGGCCATGATGCCCACGTCAGCCTCTACCGGATGTTGTTCAGCATGGACGGGGTCACGTGGTTCCCCTATACTGATACCGTGAAAGATAAGGTAAAGGAATGGTGCATATTATAGTTGTAAATATTCACCGAAACATGGACAGGTCGATGCATAAAAAGGAATCGATATATACTGAACCGCAAAAGAAACGTCACTTCATGAAAGTTTCAAATTGAAATATCAATGCATTTGTTTCAGATATCTCATTTTTGACTTGAGTCTGTGTCCAAATTTAATGTTAACGAACAAAAGGGGACACAAATAAGGATATAATGGGTCGCCAAAACGCAGCTTAACAAACGACCATGGTACAAAGTCCCGAATGCTTTCCAGGAAAATCAAAACGCACTTCCGTTTCCATGTGTCGTTTCTGATAAACGGCACCCCAATACGTGCATCCAACATTCTTGTATCGATACGAGCGCCGCGCCAAGACTTAGGAAGAATCAGAGAACCCAGGCTTTCGGAGGACTGGAACCTGTTGGTGACCTAGTATGTAACGTTGCAGTAATCTGTAGATGGTTCTCACGTGGACATTGGCAGCATTGGCATACAGCATGCAGTCGCCCTTAAGCCTGGTATCTCTGACTCTTCGTAAGTCATGGCATACCCCAAAAAGTCGTTGATATTTCAATGGGAAACTTTCAAGAAGTATTGTCACGAAGTGAGGTTCCCTTTGCGGTTCAGTATATAAACACTTAACTACATGTTACATTGTTCATTTTGTTTGTTTGATGCCTAGCGTTTGTTGTTTCTCAGCAATGAGCAACACTAAACCCCGTCCGGAAGCGATGACACGCAATCAACCAAGTGATGGAGGCTGATCACCCTATTCATGTTGGTTTGGTTGGTTGGTTGTTTAACGCCGCAATCAGCAATATTCAAGCTATATGACGGCGGTCTGTAAATAATCGAGTCTGGACCAGACAATCCAGTGATTAATATCATGAGCATCGATCCACGCAATTGGGATACGATGACATGCATCAACCAAGTTAGCGAGCCTGACAATCCGATCCCGTTAGTCGCCTTTTACGACAAGCATAGTCGCCTTTTACGGCAAGCTCGGGTTGCTGAAGACCTATTCTACCCCGGAAGTTCACGGGTCCCCCTAATTCTTGTGTTGGCCACGTACAAACTTAAGTTGCTTGGGGCCTTTTCCATCTTCTCAGCCAAGGGAGTTAACTGACTTTAAAAGTCCAGGCTTGGTCACTTTTTAGTGGGTTAAATTGCTGTTGCGGTGGCGAGTTATGTCCCTTCACTGCCCTTGACCCCGCTGGTCGTGGATTCCATTCCCATTCCATACACGTGATACTGGGTATTTCAGTATCTCACCCATGCCTTTATCCAAGTGGTGAACCTGTATCTCTTTCAAGTGAGTGAGTATGGTTTTACGCCGCTTTTGGCACTATTCTAGCAATATCACGGCGGGGGACGTCAGAAATGGGCTTCACACATTGTACCAATGTCGGGAATCGAACCCGGGTCTTCGGCGTGACGAGCGAACGCTTTAACCACTCAGCTACCCGACCGTCCCGTATCTCTTTTAGGCTAACACACCGTGGTTAAATACTGTTCAAAGGGGGCACGGGTGGCCCAGTCGTCTAAGGCGCCGCGATTCGCTGTGCAGAGTTGCGTCCCTTGGGCACGCCAGAAACCTATGATTGTGGGTTCGAATCTCGGTTCGCCCCGATTATGTTTCTAGGTTTGTAAGCACCATACCCGTGCTCGTGGGTTTCACCGAAGTGGTAAACGTCTGAGACCTGCATCACTTCGGGCTTTCCTTTCTAAATTAAGCTGACACGCTGCGATATAACTGGAATACTGTTAACAGCGGCGTTAAACCCAACTCACTCACTCACTAATACTGTTCAAAGCGGGGTTAATCCGAACTCACTCACTAACCTTTTTCTTCAGTTTTTCCAGGGTAACTCCGACAGCAGCCACAACCACACTGTGAGTCTCCCCTGCCCCCACATAGCCCTATATGTCCGGATCAACCCCCTCACGTGGCACCACCACATTGCACTACACCTCGACCTGCTTGGATGTCCTTACATCAAACGTAGGTGTCATGTTCTCAATCAGCAATATTCCAGCTAAATGACGGCGGTCTGTAAATAATCGAGTCTGGACCAGACAATCCAGAGATTAATATCATGAGCATCGATCCACGCAATTGGGATCGATGACATGCATCAACCAAGTCAGAGAGCCTGACCACCCGATCCCGTTAGTCGCCTTTTACGACAAGCATAGTCACCTTTTACGACAAGCATGGGTTGCTGAAGACCTATTCTACCCCGGATCTTTACGGCAAGCATGGGTTGCTGAAGACCTATTCTATCCCGGGTCTTTGCCTTAAGTGACCCATTGCATATGGTTTTACGCCGCATTTTGAAAAAAAGAAATGAGTGAAACTCTAATACTTAATTTGCAACCTTACAACATTCAGGGAACGGGTGGCCAAGTCCTCTAAGGCGCTGCAATTTGCTGTGCAGAGTTGCGTCCCTTGGGCACGCCTGAAACCTATGATTGTGGGTTCGAATCGCGGTTCACCCCGATTATGTTTCTAGGTTTGTCAACACCATACCCGTGCTCGTGGGTTTCACCGAAGTTGCAAACATCCGAGATCTGCATCACGTCAGGCTTTCCTCCCACATTAAGCTGCCACGCCGTGATATAACTGGAATACTGTTAAAAGCGGCGTTAAACCCAACTCACACACTTACAATTTATTACTAATATGGTCATGCATTTTATGTTTGTAATCATCAGATTTGTTTCGCTGCCGAGATATTAATGCAGGAGAACAGCTCCTTTGGTATAATAAAATCTTAGTTATTTGTTTTTCCTGGATATGGTGAAAAACGCTATTCCCTGACAAATGGTATCGATTAGTTACGTAAAAATGTTCAAAACCTAAATGACATTATTAGCAAAATAACATTAAAAAACAATTGTGTCTTTCAGAAACAGTGAAGCCAGCCAATGGTAGGTCGAGTGCGTTTTCATTGTTCCCGTGTAATTGCTTTCGTAATTATATTTTCAAGTAATTATGGATCAAAACAATCTGATTATTGTAATATTAAATTTTCACAAATGCGACGTTGAACAACTTTCACTCACTCACTCACTCATCCTTCTGAACTGTGTACAGGTGCACTTTGTGAACCCATGCTGCCACCGAAGCATGGGATGACGTCATGTGAAAAACAAGGACAGACTGTGTACGTTTAATAACCATTTTCACAGTTGTATATCGTCAATGTACATCTAGATTAATGTTGCGATCCAGTACATCCAGATCACACCCAGCCCCAGGGTAACAAAAACCAAGACAAGTAAGCCATCATTTATCTAAGAGGGCACGGGTGGCCCAGTCGTCGATGGCGCCGCGATACGCTGTGCAGAGTTGCGTCCCTTGGGCATGCCAGAAACCTATGATTGTGGGTTCGAATCCCGGTTCGCCCCGATTATGTTTCTAGGTTTGTCAGCACCATGCCCGTGCTCGTGGGTTTCAACGAAGTGGTAAACGTCTGAGACCTGCATCACTTCGGGCTTTCCTCCCACATTAAGCTGACACGCCGTGATATAACTGTAATACTGTTAAAAGCGGCGTTAAACCAAACTCACTCGCTCACTCATATATCTAATAACATAAATAGCGCACAGTCGAGATTGATTTCGGCCGTCAGTAGTGTATTTTTTTAATTAATAATCAAATTTGTTTTTCACTTTAGGGTGTGTACCTTCACCTGTCAAAGGGGTTTCATGTTTGAAACCAACAAACTGAAGAAACCGGTTGCCATAAAACGCACGTGCGACATGAGTGTTGGCCTTTATGATTATGGTCCGGTGCCACGCTGTGTTGGTGAGTTGTATTTTCGTCTTAAAAAAACATAAACAAAAAAAACCCAACTGACATCCATTTATTCAACCGCAACGATTACTTCATCATCTATTGATGTTTTGAACACATCATTTTACGACGTGTGTTATTGAGTGTGTGTCAAATGATTCACATTGGATCCGTAAAGATCCGGGGTAGAATGGATCTTCAGCAACCCATGCTTGCCGTAAAAGGCGACTATGCTTGTCGTAAGAGGCGACTAACGGGATCGGGTGGTCAGCCTCGCTGACTTGGTTGATGCATGTCATCGATCCCAATTGCGTAGATCGGTCATCTTGACGTGAAACACTGGATTGTCTGGTGCAGACTCGATTATTTACAGACCACCGTCACATATTGCTAAATTGCTGAACAACAAACAAACAAACTAACAAACAGGGGAACCTAGCCGCGGTCACATGTCTTTGGGTCATTCTATTCATACTTCGAGCAGTAGGGGGTAAGAGCAGTAATTAAAATCAGGTTTACCTTTGATGAAAAACATAGGAAACTTTTGAAAATGATTATGATTTTAACTTTATAACTATAACAACGCACATATTCACGTTCAATATCGGTGTTATTTCAGAGAGAGGACAGTCGGTATCTTCCAACGCCAATATAAGTAAGTATTGTTCAACATATCCATTTGTACAGCACTGAAAGAGAGAATCACTCACTCACTTAATGCATGAATGTAATGTAATGCGACGACAGCTTCTTTTGCAAAGGTACCCGTAAATATCCGGGGTAGAATAAGTCTTCAGCAACCCATGCTTGCCGTAATAGGCGGCTAACGGGATCGGGTGGTCAGACTTGTAGATGCAAGTCATCGTATCCCAATTGCGTCGATCGATTCTCATGATGTCAATCACAGGATTATCTGGTCTAGATTCGATTATTTTCAGACCGCCGTCATACAGCTGGAATATTGCTTGGAGCGGCGTAAAACAACAAACAAATAAACATCATTTTCAAAGCCGTTGGGCGGTGGTTAAAGCGTTCGCTCGTCAAGCCGAAAGCCGGGGTTCCATTCTTGGGTACAAGGTGGAAATAACTTTCTGGTATACCCCGCCGAGGTTTTTGTTGGTAGAAAAAAACTGCTGAATATTGCCAACAAGAACAACAACTTAAATTCTTTTGGCGCATTTTGTTTGTTTGATTGTTGTTTAACGCCGCGCTCAGTGATATTCCACATGTATGGCGTCTGTCTGTAAATAATCAAATCTGAACCAGACAATCCAGTGATTAACATCATGAGCATCGATCCACACAATCGGGACACGATGCCATGCATCAACATTGTCAGCGAGCCCGACCACCCGATCCCGTTCGTCGCCTCTTACGACAAGCATGGGTTGCTGAAGACTTATTCTTGTCCGGACCTTCACGGGTCTCACCACTTTTAGATAAATAGTTTTAATCACAAGTATTCCATGTTTGCAGCGGGATTCTGTATAGAGTCACTGGAAGATTGCGATGAACTCGGAAACGGAGATTACCAATTCTGCGGCGACTGCCACTTCTTTTGTACATGCTCTGAGCACATCTACTACGTCAGAGCGTGTCCCGCGCAACTCAAGTTCGACTCGAAGTCGCACCTGTGTGATTTCTACAGCAGCACGTGCAAACGCACGGGTCGCCACGCCATGTTACAAAACAAGACAGATTAGAGAAAACCAAAAACAACACGTGCATCAACTGAAGTCCGTGCATCGCATGATAAAACAGATTAACGTATGTTGTTACACCGCAGCAAGTAATAACGCAGTTTCCGGCATTACCAAGCTGCCATCCGTTCGTGACCAACTCGTGTTATTCCGGGACAAGCCGAATAGCGACTCGTGCCCCGCTCATGGCTATTTTTGCGACCGGGTTCCGTTTTAGCGCAAACGGGCATACCTAAAACAATTGTCAACTCGTTGCGTAATGGTTCACTTACATTTCCCCATATATTATATATATTTCAGATGCAATTTAATCCACATCGGGACGTGCGGAATTATACAGTATGATTGAACACATTTAACTTTGTCTTTGGTATATTTTTAGGTGCAAGACATATGTAAAATCAAAAATTATTTCTGAGGAATTCTTTGACGAGGAACTTGAAATCATGCGCGCATTCTGATTGGTTTGTCGTATTTTCGCACATAACATTCATCGATAGGGGGGACGAGTCTTCTTGCAGGTTACGGAAAGGGGCGAGTGGTGACGAATGGCTGCCATCGTGACAGAAAACGTTGTAAATTGCCCAGTGCAGTGCGACCACACAACATACCATTTTAATGTACTCCAAGGAAAGAGTTCCTTCACATAATAATCATATTGTATATTTATTACGTTGTGGACTATATTGTTTTATTATTTGTCCGTGCAAACAACAATCTATAGACTAACATCTAGTCCCTGAAATGAACATATTTTACAGATAAAAACACCGCACTCAGCAATAGTCCAGCTATATGACGGCGGTCTGTAAATAATTGAATCTGGGGGAGATAGTCCAGTGATTGACAGCATGAGCACCGATCTTCGCAACTGGGATACGATAACATGCCTCAACCAAGTCGAGCCTGACCATCCGATACCCTTAGTTGGCTCTTACGACAAGCAGTGTCGCCTGTTACGACAAGCTTGGATTGCTGAAGACGAATTCTAACTCGGATCGTCACGGATTATGTCAAGTCGATTGATTTTCTTACTGACTTCCTCATAGTGTTCACGTAAATATCGGAAAATGTATAGTCCATACTTCATACGTATACCCTTTAATATGCCAGAAGCTAACTTGCAAGTATGAGAAGGAAGCAACGTACCGGTATTCAGCCATTTGTCTGGTAACTTTAATACACATATTTTAAGAGTCCCTTAATTATATAAAATGTTACATTTCCAATGTTCCAAAATGGACCAAGTCCTATCTCGTCTTTAAAATCATTTTTGAAGTTTTAACTGATCAATACTTATTTCGATTCCAGTACGTAGTAATCTATTCAAATAGTTGATGAAAAGAAATATTAAGTCGTGGAATATTTGCATTTAAACAAATTAATTTACATGTAGTTTTACGTTGAAATAGAAATTCTTTCGAAGCAGGTCTAAAAATAATTCGCCAAAGGTTCATTATGGTTAAGCATGTATCAACCATATCTTTTCATCTACCTGTCGAATCGTTATTAGTGGTACATTTATTAATGTTACCCGTTATCCGACATTATATTCTTATTTATACATGTATCGAACATATATCAGAAATGTTTATACACTCTGTAATGCGTACTCATTAAAGATTAATCATTGTTTTTTTCAAAGTGATTTTGTTTGTTTGCTGTTTAACGCCGCACTCGGCAATATTCCAGCTATAAGAGGTCTGTGAATAATCGAGTCTGGACCAGACAATCCAGTGATTGACATCATGAGCGTCGATATCGATGTACGCAATATGGATGTGACGAAGTCAGCAGAACATCGATCTACCTTACAGGGATACGATGTCATGCATCAACCAAGTCAGCCAGTCTCTTTCTCTCTCATCCCCTGTCTCTCATCCCCCTCTCTCTCATCCTTCCCCTCTCTCCCTCTAACCCCCTCTCTCATCCTCTCTCTCTTTCTCTCTCATCCTTCCTCTCTCTCACTCCCCTTTTTCTCCCTCTCTCACCCCTCTCCCCTCTCTCTCATGCCCCTCTCTCATGCCTCTCTCTCATCCTTCCCCTCTCTCCCCCTCTCTCATCTCCCTCTCTTTCTCTCATCCCCCTTTCTCCCATCCCCCGTCTCTCCATCGACATCTCCCTCACTCTCTCATCCTCTCTCTCTTTCTCTCTCATCCTTCCTCTCTCACCCTTTCTCTCACCCCGTCTCTCTCATTCCCCTCTCCCCTCTCTCTCACCCTCTCTCCCACCCCCCGTCTCTCTCATTCCCCTCACCCCTCTCTCTCACCCCCTGTCTCTCTCATTCCCCTCTCCCCTCTCTCTCACCCCCTCTCTCACCCCCTCCCTCACCCTCTCTCTAACCCCCGTCTCTCTCATTCCCCTCTCCCCTCTCTCTCTACCCCTCTCTCACCCTCTCTCTCACCCCCGTCTCTCTCATTCCCCTCTCCCCTCTCTCCCCCTCTCTCTCAACCCCCGTCTCTCTCATTCCCCTCTCCCCTCTCTCTCTACCCCTCTCTCACCCTGTCTCTCACCCCCGTCTCTCTCATTCCCCTCTCCCCCTCTCTCAGCCCCTCTCTCACCCTCTCTCTCAACCCCCGTCTCTCTCATTCCCCTCTCTCTCACCCCCTCTCTCACCCTCTCTCTCACCCCCCCGTCTCTCTCATTCACCTCTCCCCTCTCTCTCACCCCCTCTCTCACCCTCTCTCTCACACCCGTCTCTCTCATTCCCCTCTCCCCTCTCTCTCTCACCCTCTCTCTCATCCACCTCTCTCTCAACCCCCTCTGTCTCTCACACCCCTATCTCTCTCTCTCTCTCTCTCTCTCTCTCTCTCTCTCTCGCACCTACCAAAGTTTGAAGACTAAACATCATATAAGAAGAAGGCTTCATCATGAAAAGTCCATTTTGCCCAAAGAATTTACAAATAGTCATACACCTAATGCATGTTTGATCTTCCAGTGAATGGTAACTAATATATTGTATATTTCCGCAGAACAGTAACCAGTAACTAACCCAAAGTCATGTTTGTTCCCAAATATGTGCACTGCGGTCGCTTGCAGCATCCCTGCAGAAACAGGGCAAATGACATTTTTAAATCGATTTGTTACACACCTCAATCATACCTCTGAAATTGATCTTGTAATAAAATGAACATACAGACAGCATCAGACACAGGGGGATACGATGTCATGCATCAACCAAGTCAGCGAGTCTCAACCCCTCTCTCTTATCCCCCCTCTCCCTCACCCCCTTCTCTCTTCCTGTAACCCCCTTTCTCTCTCATCCCCCCTCTCCCCTGACTCGTTCATCCTTCTCTCTCTCATTACCCGTCTCTCTCCCTCTCTCTCACCCTCTCTCTCTCCCCCCCCCCCCCCCCCCCCCCCCCCCCACACACACACACACACACACACACTCTCTCACATACACCTAAGTTACAGTGAATTTAAAATCGATTTGCTACACACCTCAATCATACTTCTGAAATTGATCTTGTAATAAAATGAACATACAGATAGCATCAGACACAGACACCAGTGGCTGCCAATATCTGTAAGGGCTGCTGAGAACATCATTTTTAGTGTTCGTATGAGTTAGGCAGTCACTAAATCAAATCTTGTCAATTACAGTTTAGGAACAATCACAACATTTTGTAAAACATCTTTACCGCCCCATGTGTTGACTTAATGATAACAATATCCTTTCTGCAAAGGGTCGATTAGACTTTATTTAGGAGCAAAATGCATCTTATTCATAATTATTTGTACTTAAAGACTCATACCTGTTTCGGTACGCAACACTTTGGCATCCATGTTTGAAATTCAGATGGTTCGATCGTACGTCGTTACGTTTTGTACGTCGATATGCCGCGCGCAACAAGCGTAACAATAAAAAGAAACACGGCCGACGGCAACCTACACAGATAACCATGCGATTCTGATCACACCGATATGAATCCCCCTTGGTCAGCGATACAGTTATATAACAGATTTATTTGATAACAGTTAATGACCTCTGGTCACTATATAAATGCGGACATGGAAACGGACTAGACGTTCTCTTTCGCCCATCGTTCCAAGCTGCAACTTTTGAAGCCGTCTTCACACATCTATCAATTATACAGGTGAGTCCAGCCCTCTTTAAACTGGCTACTCGCACACAGTGTCGAGCGATGGGATCGACAAATGGGCAAAGCGTTAGCTCGTTGAGCGAAAGGTCCGGGTTCGACTGCAAGGATTGGTACAGTCTGTGAGGCCGATCCTTGGTGTCACGCATTGTAAATTTGTAATCTTCAATAATAATAATAATAATAATTATAATAATGATGATGATGATGATGATGATGATGATGATGATAATAATAATGTATATCATATCTTCCTTGACACAGACTTGACGATGTCCCTTGGGAAGTTATGCGGTGTCGCTGCAGCCTTGCTTGTCATGGTAACACAGACGGAGGGTGCGTATCCGCGAGAGAGTCCGCGAAACTGATTACATGAATTCTTAAATGAATTAAACTTTTTTAACCGATCAACTGATAATGTTCATGACCACATCAGGGCAACCATGTGATGCTGAAAAGTATAATTTGTTCCTCAAACTTCTAGAAGGCAATGTTTTGCCTCAAGTTTGAAAGAAGAAAAATGTTCAGAACTGAAAAAAGCGTTGAGTAAATACAAAACCGCGTTGCCCTTCCTTTCAGAGAAAAAGAAATGTCTCAAACAAAAGTCTAAAATACAACTGTACTATTTCTCGCGTTACAATCTCTACAGCTATTAAACTGTTGTTGGGGCGGTTGGGTAGCCTTGTGGTTAAAGCGTTCGCTCGTGACGCCGAAGGCCCTCTGGGTTCTACTCCCCGCATTGGTACAATGTGTGAATGTGTGTATTCCTGGAATATTGCTAGACTGGCGTTAAACCATACTCACTCTCCAACGCCACATTCAGCAGCATCCAATGTCTATCAATTCAGCATGTAAATAATTCTGGTGTGGCAGAGCCAGTGGCTGATAGCATGAGCAGTTGTCCACGTCGACGACATACGCTGTGATAATTAGCCAAGCATTACATCCCCACATATCAATGTGGCTGTGTTACCACTGTTCAAAGCCGTGTTGAACTTAAGCCTCTCAAAGACGTGTACAAGGAGCTCATTCAGGGACTTGACCAGGAATTTTCACTTTCAACAAAAAGTAGAACCGCCACACTGGTCTATCATATGATCACAGTTTTGTTTTATAGTGACCTTCTTCTCCAGCTGCTGCTTGCACGAACAGCACCGACTGCGGCGTCAACGCCAACTGCGCCAACTCCACCTGTGTGTGTGATCCTGGGTATCAAGGAGATGGCGCCACCTGCACCAGTGAGTACCATCAGCAGGGAGACTTTCAGAACATAGTGCTGATCACAGCCGATGCAATAACGGTTAATCTCCGAATTAAACGCTCTCGATAACATTACACGTTTTACCGAAAAGAAATTGACTTACGAATTTAACTGAAACGAAACACATTGATAACACCTGATTATGTAAATGCACCTGACAAAAGGTAAATTGGTTAGTTATTTGCTGATTATTACATTGAAATGCATAGTGCGACCAAAATACGACTGTTTACCTATCACCGTGGACAAATATGATAATGAAATTAGACAAGACTTGCGAAAGTGTACTTGTCAAAATACTTGAGTGAAGATTTTGTCTAATTTTATTTATAAGACATTTCCTAATTACTAAATGTAAATGCACAATTCGATCAAATATGCTTACCCAATTGCGTGAATCGATGATCATGATATCAATCACTGGATTGTCTGGTCCAGACTCGATTATTTACAGACCGCCGTCATATAGCTGGAATATTGTTGAGTGCGGCGTTAAACAACATACAATACAATGTGTGAAGCCCATTTCTGGTGTCCCCCGCCACCGTGATATTGCTGGAATATTGCTAAAAGCGGCGTAAAACCATACTCACTAACTCACTCACTAAACAACAAACAAACTAACATATAAAGTTGGACAAATATGCTTACTAACATATCACGACGGACAAATATTTTATTGAAAATAGACAAGGTTTTACAGACTATTCACCTGATCTTTGACGTCCTTGACCTTCAGCTATATGCAGCATGCTGGACTTCCTGCTGGGGGTCGGGTTCCGCGCCCTGCCAGGGGACTGCAGTCGCTTTGTCCAGTGTGACGTCACAATACCCAAGGTGCAGTATTGTAGCTACGGCACAGTGTGGAGTGACGTCATCAAGGCGTGTGTGACACCAAGGAACGGCAACTGCAGTAAGTAGTAGAACGAAACAACATCTGCATCAGTTCAAGTGTTAAAGGTCAATAAGCAGCGGTTTCAAATTAGGAGAGATTGCATTATGCACTATCATTATATTCAGGTTGTAACGGGATCGAAAAGAATTTTGATCATACATGTTATGTTAAGGTTTATATTATTTATAAAAATAATACTTTTTGATGCACGTTGACGCCAGATACGTAATAGCTTATACAGCATTTAAAAAAGTAATCATTTTTATCAGCATAATAACGCCAATCAACACACAATCAAACATGGAATTTAACAAGTTTATATTCGACTGCACAAAAGAATCAGCCATATTTTATGTCAATCTGTTTCTCATGATGACGTCATGTTTTCCAGACAAGTGCAGTGGACAGGCTGACGGCGTCGAGCTGCCCTACCCCCTCATGTGCAACTCTTACTGGCAGTGTCAGGGTGGGGTACCCCGTGCCATGTGCTGCCCTGTCAACAACACCTTCGTGGATGGATCGGGGTGTGTCAGTGGGTCATGTGCTGACACCTGTCCTCCTGCCCTGGCTAATTACACAGCAGGTAAATTCCAATTAATATACTCCTGCCCAGGCTAATTACACAGCAGGTAAATTCACGTTAATATACGCTTGCCCTGGCTAATTACACAGCAGGTAAATTCACGTTAATATACTCCTGCCCAGGCTAATTACACAGCAGGTAAATTCACATTAATATACTCCTGCTCTGGCTAATTACACAACAGGTAAATTCACGTTAATATACTCTTGCCCTGGCTAATTACACTGCAGGTAAATTCATGTTAATATGCTCATATCCTGGCTAATTACACAGCAGGTAAATTCACATTAATATACTCCTGCCCAGGTTGATTACACAGCAGGTAAATTCACATTAATATACTCCTGCCTAGGCTAATTACACAACAGGTAAATTCAGATTAATATACTTCTGCCCTGGCTAATTACAGAGCAGGTAAATTCACATTAATATACTCCTGTCCAGGCTAATTACACAGCAGATAAATTCACGTTAATATGCTCATGTCCAGGCTAATTACACAGCAGGTAAATTCACATTAATATACTCCTGTCTAGGCTAATTACACAACAGGTAAATTCACATTGATATACTTCTGCCCTGGCTAATTACAGAGCAGGAAAATTCACATTAATATACTCCTGTCCAGGCTAATTACACAGCAGGTAAATTCACATTAATATACTCCTGTCCAGGCTAATTACACAGCAGGTAAATTTACATTAATATACTCCTTTCAAGGCTAATTACACAGCCGGTAAATTCACGTTAATATACTCTTGCCATGGCTAATAACACAGCAGTTAATTCACGCTGATATACTCCTGTCCTGGCTAATTACACTGCAGGTAAATTCACGTTAATATACACCTGTCAAGGCTTATTACACAGCAGGTAAATTTACATTAATATACTCCTGCCTAGGCTAATTACACAGCAGGTAAATTCACGTTAATATACTCCTGTCCAGGCTACTTACAGAGCAGGTAAATTTACGTTAATATACACCTGCCCAGGCTAATTACACAGCCGTTAATGAACGCGAATATACTCCTGTCCAGGCTACTTACACAGCAGGTAAATTGACATTAATATACTCCTGTCCTGGCTAAGTACACAGCAGGTAAATTCACGTTAATATACTCCTGCCCAGGCTAATTACACAGCAGGTACATTCACGTTAATATACACCTGCCTTGGCTAATTACACTGTAGGTAAATTCACGTTAATATACTCCTGCCCTGGCTAATTACACAGCAGGTAAATTCACGTTAATATACTCCTGCCCTGGCTAATTACACAGCAGGTAAATTCACATTAATATACACCTGCCTTGGCTAATTACACAGCAGGTAAATTTACATTAATATACACCTGTCAAGGCTAATTACACTGCAGGTAAATTCACATTAATATACTCCTGCCCAGGCGTATACTAACAGGTAGTATGTTATCGATATACTCCTGTCTAGTTACATTAAAGTAAAGTGACATTTATGCAGTCAGGTCAAGGCTTATTATGCTACAATATAAAGTGTTATTTATAAAACAAATGTAATTCATCTTCCGTAACAATGCTTAATTATGTTTAAATGAAGAGTTATTATGTGAATTATCTTTGCCATCACACAGATCCATGTGAGTTTGCGCCCTCTAGCGACGGCCCCGAGTTTTACATGGAAACAGTAACCGGGTTTGGTCTCATCAGGAGGGACTGTCCCCTCGGCACCAACTTCAACAACGTCACCTGCGGCTGTCACGACGTCGTGAATGTCCCATCATCTCCACGTAGGTGTCAAAACCGATCTTCTTATTGTCTTACTACAAACTGTATGCATAAATGAGTTTCTTTTTCCAACACTGCCTGCCCTCATAGTTAGAATTATGCATTCCAGTGTGCCCTATGATGGCTGACATCTACTACGACAACGCTACAACCGCTTTTGTTGACAACTCCACCAACGACGCCTGGATCCAGGTCAACAACGTCGCACTTGGCAACCAGGCAGTGTTTTCAGGTTCCAGTAGTCTGGCGGTTTTCGCTCTGGCTGGTGTCACGTATGGCTCCAATCTGGAAATCGACACCGTCTTCTCTGTCAACCCTTCCTCTCCCATCAACGACCAGATTGTCCTCCAGAACGGCAAGTGTGACGAGAACGGACCTTCCTTCATGCTCTACGTCAACGACGTCCCTGGCAACGGCTCCATCATGGACGTGACCTTCACCCTTCAAACTGGCAACTCCGTCGTCGAGATCAACTCCACCTTGACGATCGACGTAATAATTTCTTTATTAAAATATTATGATAATACATAAAAGCGACAAAGCATTTCCATAATCATACGAAACCTTTGTTCAAAGAGTCATAAACACATGCAATGGCGAGTCAAGGGTTAACCTGAACAAACATGGGAATATGTGGTACAATTCAAAATAGGAAGTTGCATCAGACATAAATTTTGTCATTGATTCGAATTCGTCAAATATGGAAATGTCCCCCACGTGTCTTCGAAAAACGTTCTTTAAGCTTCACTGCGACCTTACATGTTGAGCTAATTCTACCACTACCTGTGTTTTTCAATTAAGTATTTAATAACATGAGGGGCGGTCGGGTAGCATAGTGGTTAAAGCGTTCGCTCGTCACGCCGAAGATCCGGGTTCGATTCCCGACATGGGTACAATGTGTGAAGCCCATTTCTGGTGTCCCCCGCCGTGATATTGCTGGAATATTGCTAAAAGCGGCGTAAAACCAAACTCACTCACTCACTCACTAATAACACGTATTTCTTGTTGACAGTAATGCACATATAATTTGGTTAAGACGAATAATAATAATGTGCTGGTATATTTGTACACAGAAAACCACCAGAGTGAGGGTTGAAGTCAAGTACCCAACTCGCAGCAACAGCAGCACCTACTCCTACACCCTGTTCGACGACGACACCGACATGTCTCTCACCTCCGTCACGGACGTCATGCCTGTCACAAGTGAGTACGACTTTGAATTCATGAAAATAAGTTATTCACAGTGGCACAGACCAAAATGTGAATTCTTGAGTGGATCTCTTGCTGACAAGGAATAAAATAAAAATCCACTTAAAGGCCGTCCATTTAATGGGTGTGTGTTGTATCGGGGACATGATGGATGCACTAAAATATCTGTTGTAAACTAACATTAGTTATAATTTGTCTTCGCTTACAATCAGAGGGGGCGGTCGGGTAGCCTAGTGGTTAAAGCGTTCGCTCGTCACGCCGAAGACCGATGTTCGATTCCCGACATGGGTACAATGTGTGAAGCCCATTTCTGGCGACCCCCGCCGATATATGGCTGGAATATTGCTAAAAGCGGCGTAGAACCAAACTCAATCACTCACTCACTCCAATCAGAGGATATAATGGAATGTGTTGAGGGGGCGATCGAAAACGTCTCTAGCAGAATGTTGTCTTGAGTTTAAGTCGGGTGTTATTGCCATTATTATTTCAACCTTGTAGCCACCATCACAAGGAAGAACGCAGCTCTACAGATCGGGAGTGGAGACTGCACCAGTCAAGGATTCTCTGGGTTTGTTGGATCCATCTTCAGGGTACGTATTTACACGTTTCGTTACATTTTCCATGTTGTTATTTTGTTGAAATAACTCCCAGGTGAACAACACAACGCATTGCTCGATGTCACTGACAATGTGACTGACATGATGTGACAATATTTTGCTTCTGTGAATAATTATAAGGTCTTTAAAGTATTTTCTTGTTTTTCAATTCACGTATTTCGCTGATATGTTTTTTTGAGTTTCTAAGCCTGTTGAGTTTTCAAATAAGGTTTCGTTTTTGAACTGATTTCAACTTTTTGCACACAAATTTGCCATTTCCGGTGTGCCTGACTCACCGGAAATAGCGTTGGTCACACATTCACTCACTGACTCACCAAAGTGTTGCCTATTTCCCTGTGCATGTGCCTCTTAACACAGGTAGCAAAAGTACTGTAAGTCCCTATTGACCCCAGCATGGTGATCTATCTTCTGATGCTGGCGATCTATAGCCTTTTTTTATATTGTACTGTTTCATTTAGTGATATCTTTTTATGGTTGTATGCTAGTTTTAAATATAAATCTGTGATATTCTAGTAATTTTACTGTCCAGCGATGATTTTATTTAGTTTAAATATATGTATAAATAATGTTACATATAACTTCTACATATAGGGGTGAAATACTGCTGATGTGACGTAAAGCACTCACTCACTCACTCTTAACATCAATACTTATACTCCTTGTTTGCCGCTATATATATATCTCATAACAATGTTTTTAGTATGTTAACGATCTTACTTTCAGACCGGAATTCGCAGTTGCGGCATGGGCGTCTGAACTTGAAGCAGTGTCGACATCCAGACAGGAACGACTTACAATGTTGTTCGATATATGCAACGTGACGTACAACGACTTTCTGAGATTTTTTAATTTGTATTTATTTGCTATTGTTTTGTATTATTTATGTTTTACGAATAAATTATGTTCTTCATAAAACAAATGTTTGTTGCACATGTATTTATATGAAACGCAACTGTGCTGTCACAAAACGTTTCTAATTTTTTAGATAAATGACATCAATAAATCAATGACCACGTTAAGTTGAGATGCCTTCCGCGATCTAATGATTGCCTTTATCGTGTAAAATACTGTATACATTTTTTACTTAATTTAAAGCGTGGGGAATGAACAAAGCACTAACTATAAATAGTTGAGTATTATACATAAACATAAGATTGCTAAGACCAATTCTTGAATGGAAAAGGGGAATGGAGGTCACATATGAAATAAACGGGTATCACCAAAACATAATATTTTCATGAAGCTGAAAGACTACAAGACCTTCATGATCAGCACTGTCAATGAATACTACGTTCATTGAAAGTAGACAAGATTGTGTTGTGGGTAGATGTCAATTTAATTGATATTAAACACATTTCCTTGTGACAGAAGGTCTTTTTTCAATTGAGGGTCTTATCACAAAACCTTAGGAACGTAACTATTACAGTGTGGGGCAGGACCAAAAACCTGGAACCTTTTAGAGGTCATGTTGCCGAGCACGCTCACCCATCCAACTCCTCTCCGCAACCACGTTATATGATTTGTAATAAGTACCACAGTGGGTGTCACTATTTAAAGCATTTTCAGTTTTAATAATATTAAAGTTAATGAAATCCTACATATAGGTTAGGTCACATTAATAGTCTTGAATATACAATAGAACACAAGAGGTGAGGTGGAATGGGGTTTAACGTCGCGTCCAAGATTATTGCACTTATATAGCGACGTGAATGCACGTGTGTGTGTGTGGCTGCTTGTACTAGTCCGGACTGATGCTGATTTTTAGTGCTAGCTCACTGAGATACCATGCCGCAGTTTAACATGAATACCCCACTCAGACACAGAATACTGACTCCCAGCCGACCAGTCCTTGTTTTAGCCCCTTAATGCCGAGCGCCAGACAGTGTAACAAGTACCATCTTTGAACGTCTTTTGGTATGACGCGGCCGGGGATCGAACCCAAGACCTTCAGCTCTCCGGGCGGACGCTCTACCAGTAGACCACGGAGGCGGTCATAGAACACAAGAAAATATGGAAAATACACTGTGGGAATGCTGGGTTAGAATCTGCTTTGAGCAGTGTTTCGATTATTTCAAGCAATGTCAACTTGTTGTGGGAGGAAATACCGAAGTCATGCAGGTCTTAGATGTTTACAACGTGCACTGACAAAGTACCACCTAACGCAAGGATAGCATTCAGTTATAAACTAACCAGCCGACAGGATGACAATACCAGTCAAAGTACAAACATCAAAACCTACGGTTGAAACTCTAAACCATTTACACAACCATATATAAATTGAATGAGTGAGTGAGTGAGTTGGGTTTAACGCCGCTTTTAAAAGTATTCCAGTTATATCGCGGCGTGTCAGCTTAATGTGAAAGGAAAGCCCGAAGTGATGTAGGTTTCAGACGTTTACCAGTTCGGTGAAACCCACGAACACGGGTATGGTGCTGACAAACCTAGAAACATAATCGGGGCGAACCGGGAATCGAACCCACAATCATAGGTTTCTGGCGTACCCAAGGGACGCAACTCTGCACAGCCAATCGCGGCGCCTTAGACGACTGGGCAACCCGTGGCCCCTATAAACTGAATGAAATACATACGCGCCATGTGAACAGATACCACAACATGCCATCTTATTAATACTTCTCGTTTCATCTTACAACCGGAGCGGCGGGGTAGCTGAGTGATTAAAGCGTTCTCTCGTCACGACAAAGACGCGGGTTCGATTCCCCTCATGGGTAAAATGTGTAAAGCATATTTCTGGTGTCCCCCGCCGTGATTTTGCTGTACTATTGCTAACAGCATAAAACAATAATCAGTCATTCACTCATATTTCAACAGCTTTGGAATGTGACTGGACACGACAACTTTCAACAGTTTCCCCTGGATCCAGACACTAATGTTCTGTGTTGAAGACTGGGGTATTTCCACGTTAAACAGTAACAGTAATGAGGTATTAGAACCCTCCCAATTTATAGTTGCCTTTTAAGTTGTTATTTTCCAGAGACAATTTGACTTGAACATCCAAACACTTCTTGAAAATGATAGGCTATTCTAATAGGGATGAAACAACGCTCCTTACAATAACAGACTAGTCCAACATGTCTGCAGCAACCCTTCTTGCAATGATAGACTAGCCCAACATGTCTACAGCAACACTGCTTGCAATGAAATAAACATGGAAACGCGAAAACTGAACATTGCGGGCGCCTTTGATATTCACGAGGAAGACCTGGGAATTTGTTTATAATTTGTTTAAATCTTTGTTTATGATTACTGCGACTCTTTAAATCCGCTTTCGGGGTTTTAATATACATTGCAAGAATATATTTTTCCGGGTGTATTGATTGAATACATTCACTTCGACCCATCTTAGCCGACCAAGAAATAGACACTAAAAGCTATGGATTCCGTCTCTGGACTGACACTGGCAGTCATCAGCATTCTGCGGCAATCTACATCAGTGCTTATTTTTTATCTTCACCTTTAGGTCGCCACAAGTGACAACGTTTTGGGAACCTTCTCTCGTTGAAGTTGATCGTATCGGCCATTTTGAAAACGTGTACCGAAAAATCCATGTATTACGACGTACGGTAACCTTGCTCGTCTCATGAAGATGTTATCAAAATCTATAATTCTATGAATCAACCATATACATGCAGTGTTGAGCTTGCGATTGTTCGTGAAATAGATTTGATTGTTTGTTTTTTAACGCCGCACTCAGCAATATTCCAGCTATATGACGGCGGTCTGAAAAATAATCGAATCCGGACCAGATCTAGACAATCCAGTAATTGGGATACGATGACATGCATCAACCAAGTAAGACAGCGAGCCTGACCACCCGATCCCGCTAGTCGCCTCTTACGACAAGCATGGGTTGCTAAAGACCTACTCTACCCCGGATGTTTACGGGTCGTTCATGAAAAGGACAAATAATAAACAAAGGTTCCCACAGAGTGACACACAATTACTGAATGAAATTTTCTAACTTCCAAGACATATAATAAAGCTACTATCTTAATCAGTAGCGCAACTGTGGTATGAATAATCTCCATCTGTAGGAAACAGCAACGCTAGCAGCTCGATTTTCTACCGCAAGAGATTCCATTGGGCGTAAAAGGTAAACTCGTGAAGACATTGATATGAATGGATGACTGAAAATCAGTGATGACACCAGATGTTACCGAAGAACTTGAACATGGTCTATCAGAAGAACCTCCCACTAACGCAATTTGCATTAAAGGGCAGTACTCCTACCACAAGACGGAGCCCTGTAAACAATCGCATCTGGACCAGACAATCCAATGATCAGTATAATAGGCAATTATATATAAACAATGCTTGCAAATTCTGTTTCCACGTTGATTTATATTTTGCGATCGTTTCATTGTTTCGTTTGTGTATTGCTGTATCATCCCAAGGGGCGGTCGGGTAGCCTAGTTGTTAAAGCGTTCGCTCGTCACGCCAAAGACCCGGGTTCGATTCCCGACATGGGTACAATGTGTGAAGCCCATATTGGTGTCCCCCGCCGTGATATTGCTGGAATAATGCTGAAAGCTGATTAAAACCATACTCACTCACTGTATCATCTCAAAGTCTTGTTGACGATGGCGAAAATGGCTGATATTTGGCACGGGTTGGTGGAAATGAAATAGTTTTGAAATTCTAAGATTGCATGCAAATGCAATCCCAATGGGTAGAATGTGTGACAGATATGAAATGCTATATCATGGTATATTTGATAGGATAAACATTACTTCGTTATTCTCTTCTTCTCAATAAGGGACCCGTGACGATTCCGGGGCAGAATAGGTCTTCAGCAACCCATGCTTGCCGTAAAAGGTGACTATGCTTGTCGTAAAAGGCGACTAACGGGATCGGGTGGTCAGGCTCGGGGACTTGGTTGATGCATGTCATCGATCCCAAATGCGTGGATTGATGCTCACGATATCAATCACTGTATTGTCTGGTCCAGACTCGATTATTTACAGACCGCCGTCATATAGCTGGGATATTGCTGAGTGCGGCGTTAAACAACAAACCAACCAACCAACCAACCTCTCAATAAGGGATTCTAATCCAGTCTCAACACACAAACATTCTGAAGAAACATACTCTGGCAATCCAGTATTTCTTATAGTTTCTCTTTTTGTTCAGTGCAACATTCATCCAGAACGTCAAATGCATATACTTAATTAGGTAGTACGAACGTTATGTATTTTAAGGCCTATGTAAAGCTTTCAAAACGTTCTGTGGTAGCCATTTGGAAGATTTCCTTCGGCGTAAAAGGCAAAATTGCGGTGAAAATTAGATGAATTAATGACGGAAAATGAGTAGGAACACGATGTGTTCGCGAAAAGGGTAAGCCTATCCTGCCCTAGTCTGTCTTACAGACCCTGATATAAATATGTATCAAATACAGCCCATGCAAGTCTATAATGTTTGGCATGTCTAGATTACTGAAGAGAGTCACTGGGCTCCCTTTTATTATATTTTTATTAAGATAGAGATTAGATGTTTGTCTAATCGTGTCCTACAAACTCACGCTGTGTGAAAATCAATAGTAAAGAGAATACTAGTGTATTCCCACAATAAAGTTATGCAGAGCTATGCAATAGATTGATGCTAGTGTGATATTGCTAGACGTTATGACATACCAAAATACGAATCTTAATCGCAATGTTATTGTGCGGCAATGGGTAACCAATCTGGCTAACCTGATCCATAATCGACCTGATTAGCATCACCCCCGTCGGCAACGGCGACTGCAACTACCAGTGTGTCGTGACTCCGGGGTGCGATTGTCCATGCATGTTTCCCCGTGGCCAATGTTACAGATATATGATTAGATAATGACGTAACGCTTGTTGACCACTGGTCAGTATATAAGATGGCGCATTGGTCACCTCGTCAGTAACTGATAC